CACACACACACACACACACACACACACACACACACACACACACACAGCCTCTCCACCCAACCTCCATAACAAAACAGTTGTTTTGACTAATTCTAAAAGATAAGTTTGTGACAAAGGGAACAAGTACCTCTAAACTTATTTATTTTAGTTTTTTAACGTTTCACAAATCCATTACTCKCAAATCTGATAACAAAACAGGACAAATGTCCCAGGTTGAAAACACACATTATATAGTTAACTTGTACAAAGTTTTACAAAAGACAACAAAAACAGCATTCACATTCTGCAACAGAGTGGTGGATCATGGTTGACCAATCAACCTGACCATTTGCTCATTTCTAAAAGGTACTCAGAAASTGGTATGTTTGGGTTATAAAAACCAGGGAAAATATGTTATTCAGGCTTTTTTTAGTCCTTCGGCCAGTCTTGGCTGCAACTGCTGCACATTGTGAGAAAACAAGTGAAGTCTCAGCTGCAGTATCAATGAGTTCTGAGTGTTTGAGCACAGAAAGCAATGTAGTAATGCAAAAAAAAAAAGGCAAGTTTGTTTAAAATAAAAATCAAGGGCTTTTTTGTATGTACAGCTCACAAATACACATTCTATGCCATGCACATTATTATATTGCCAAACTCAGCTGAGTTTGTATCAACTTTGGCARCCACCTGCGCATTATGCTTGATCTACCAGGGGACACTTTAGAAGTAAAGATAAGCAGATTCAAACATGTTTGCCAAAAAGAYACAAGCACAGTAGGTTTGCTTCAACACATCTGCACTGAGTTTAAGTTATGCACCTGTTGCAGTTGATGGAGAACATAAACACAATGTAAACTATAATAGTGTGGTGCAGAAGCACCCCTGGATATTTAATGGCATCACAGACCTATTCTGCTGGGTGCAGTAAAAYGTCACGACTCTTTCCTTTGTTCAGTCTCACCACAACTCTCTGACTCAGGTCTAGGTGGTGTTTAAAATGCTTGCTTGTTTCCTTGATAAATGGGCAAGATCGTCATAGCATGATCGCCCAAACRTTTCTGCCCAAGAAAATCCCAGCACAACAATAAGTGCAATAATGTCACAAAACACTCACCATTTTCTGTCACTGTTTTCAAAAAACATCATGGCCAAGTCCAGGCCACCTTCCCTCTGCTGGTCGAGCTCTTAAATTGAATCCATTTGGTCTAGCTCTGTCTGAATTCTGTTGTCAGCCAGCAAGCACAAAAACACCTACATCTCCACATAATAATGGTTAYGCATTGTCATTTCAATGGATTATATATACAGTATATATTTACAAAAAATACACATCACAAAAAGTAAGGAAAATTGTGTTTGGTAGATTATGAATTTGTTAGAACAGTGCTTCTTGGTAATAAAYCTTATACCGGGTGCCTGATTGTGTTGTACTTGAGATGGTTTTAAGACCGGTCTTAAGACCACTTTTCAATGATCTTGGTCTTGTCTTGGACTCAAGAGCATTTGTACTCGGTTTTGTCTCTGTCTCAGACATTGAGGACCCAGCTTTTTTTAAGACCAGTCAAGACCACAACTTTGGAAATATCACCAAACAGCCAGAYTATTTTCCAATCCTTTCATTGGATTTAAAACATACTGATTTAAATCCAAATCTGAATGTATTTCTGTTACAGACTGTAACTCATCCACACCCCACTTCAGTCGCACGCGACACTCCAGGAAAGTGGGCAGTGGTTCTCAAAATTTTAAGCAAAATAATTTTATTTGGCTACATAAATCATAAAGAATATAATTGTAGGTTCAGGTCTGAAATCTTTCTGTGTGGAGTCTGTATGTTCTTCTTGTGATTGCATGGGTTTTCTCTGGGTTTCCGCCCACACTCTAAAAACATGCATGTTGGGTTGCCTTCAGGCCCAGGCTTCTCTTACAAAAGAGATCTGTGATCTCAGTGGGATTTKCCTCRTTAAAATAAGGTTAATAAATATAAATGCTGTGGTTGTGATGTAGTAAAAGTATTTTGATTCCTGTGAAGGGAGAGGCTTTCATGATCGATGTCACTCTCTGGACAATCAATGACCTGCAGTCTGCTGACATCCAATCTTTAGCTCGACTCAGCTTGAACGGAACCTTGGCCAAGTAGGTTCTAAGAACCAAGCTGGAAGAGGGTGGGRCCACTCAATGGAAAACTCTGAAGTTGTGCCAAACTGTTCAAAGCAAAGCTGATATGAGCCTATGGGAAAAAGGGAAAAAAAAAACACTATTTTTCAGCTAATCTGATGATGTGCAGAGGTGAGTCCTGAGTGGCATCAAGCTTTAAGTCTGCTTCAGGACAGTTCTAGGTGAGGACTCTGATATCCTGTCAAGCAGTAACACAGGTAGCATAAAAGGTGAGACAGCTGCGAGGAAACATCCCATGAAGCTAAATGAAAGCAATACACAGCTGAGCGGTTTTGATTTTTCTGCATTTTAATGCGCATTTTATTTTTGCAAGTCCAGTTATTGCACACAGGGTCAAGCTGCAAATACCTGCACTCTATAGC